AGTGACATACATGAGCATGAAGATACATCAAACCAGCAACTATATCACGCAAGTATTTCCTTGCAGTACTTTCTTCAAGACCATGTGTAGGTCCAGAACCTTCGCAGACCCATTTGCCTTCGACGTATTCAAGAACTAAACCAAAAAGTGCAGTCAAACAAACAGCCAAAATTGGCATCAGATGGAAAAAGAATGGATCAAAGTACTTTACCCATATAGAAGTGATCTGTTGTCGGGTCATCAATAACCTCTATAAGATTAACTATATTTGGGTGGCTCAATATTTTCATGATTAAAACCTGAAAAGATAATTTCACCAGAATTGGAGAAAACAGTATGCATGATGTAATTCACTCATGAACAAATACAGAAATAAACAAATACCTCACGAAGAACATCAGTCATTGCTGTTTCAGAAGGTGCAACCCGTAACTTCAATAAATGAGACTTGTGAAATGCCTGTGTTAAAAAATTGAGGACATAAAATTATCGCGTGAAGCCACCATTTACTGGAGTAGTCCAAATATATCTTCGTGAGTACCAGTAAAACCACTACTATGTCACAGCCTAAACTGGAACATAACCCCACCCTTTCCCTGGCAGTATTAGAAAACATAGTCTTCGCCTTGGTATTTTGACAAGGTTGGAAACCTATAGTCAGGTTCAAAACTCTGTTGACTAAGATCTTAGAGTAGAATTCCTTCAACAAGATGTTGAGCAAAGCTCTGCCAGTTAACATGAACATATTACTACCCAAAACCACAGGGATTCTTATTGATCAGTTTTTTCATAGAAAAGATTTGAGCCAGATCATAGCCCATAGATAACTTTTTATTGAAACAAAAGATTATCTAAAAATCAAATGGTTGCCAGAGTAAATCCTAAATGGTTGAGCGAGAATAGTGGAAGAAACTACCTTTATTGCATATTCTTTCCCGTCTATACGGCTTCGGTAAAGAACCTATAACATTTGCAAGGTAATAAGACTACAGATCGAAATTAATTTGGCACAGACAGATGGCATAATAATGGAACTATGTCCTCACCACTTTTCCATAGCTACCAGCACCAATCTTGCGTTCGCGGACATACTCATTGACCATCTTTTGCCCGTTCTCATCCTGGAAATATGCATGGTAAACTGTTAATACTAGCTGTAAAGCACTAACAATCAACAATAAATGCAACAGTACTCCCTGTAGAATACCATATAATAAAAATAAACCAAATCTCTTTCTTCCAAACAAAATCACGTGAACTTTTAGCACAAAAAGTGTATATGACTTTTAAACAATTGCACTTATGGCCAACCTCATTCTGCAATGT